GCCGCCCTCCCGCCCCGGCAGCGTAATTAGCGGCTTTATTAAACCTTGAAAATTGCTGAAGCAGAGCGAGAGCTGGCTGAGGCTGTCAGCAGAATCCCGGCACTTGGTGGTGTTTAAAAAAAAGCCAGCCCCTAACGTAGCAGGTTGAAAACAAATAGCGTGAGGCAGAGGCACCAGAGTTTCGGATCCCTTTTAAACCCAGTGGTTTAGCGCCGATTACAGAGATATCCACGCGAACGCCTTGCCCCCTCTTCAGCCTCTGATTTCTTTCCTTCTGGAGGAAAGCAAGCACAGTCTTGAGGGACTCTGACCTGGCTCTAAAAGCAGAGGGACTGGGAAAAAAAAAAAGCAGTCCTGATCCCACATCCCACCATGACGTTGGGTGGAGCGTCCTCGGCCACCATCCCTGGGGGAAGCTACCATCCCTGGGGGAAGCTGGAAGAGGCTCTGCTGACCAGCACGAGCATCTCTGCCGGGTTCAACCAGCTCTGGCCTGAGCCCTGAGGTGCTCCAAGCCAGCAGGACTCAACTAGAGGAGGCCAAATAAACAAGGGTGCTCTGCCTTGGGTGCCACTGGGTGGCAAAGCAAGCCCTGATGTGTGCCTGGGGCTGGACCACGAGGGTGAGAAATCCCTCATCCAGCGGCGGCTTCGAGAAAACAGAAAGGAGAAGCGTTGCCTGTTAATGATAATAACCCAGAGAAACAACAACTGCAGCTGCGGGATGGGAAACCGCCCGGGGATTATTGACCCTCTGGGATTCCTTTAGCTGATTCGAGCCATCAGCTCTCCCAAGTCTGTAATTACCTCCCAGGAGATGGCTTTCGCCGAGGTCATTACGGTTTGGAAAAAAATCCCGCAGCAGTTAATGCCTCCCCTCCTCTGGGGAGCGACTCAGCCCGTTCATCTCACTCCCAGCTCTCTGATCAAGTCGGCGTCGCCTCGCCTGCCCCGGGCGAAGCCGAAAGACGCTTTTCCAAACCCCAAACTTGCGCGCCCCTTCAGGACGAGTTCCGCGTCTCAGCCCTCCTTCGGCTTCTTAACGTGGCTTCACTCAAGCCCTCGTGGGTGCGAAGAGGGGATCGGAGCATCTCGCACCTCCCCGGGCTGACTGAGCCACAATTGATAATCGCAAAGCTCCTTAGGGCCAAAAAAACAAGACACGAAGAAGTGTGCTGGGCTGGATTTTGGCTCATCACCTGAGAAGGCTCCAAGCCCACCGCGGAGGGGAGCTGGGGTGAAGGCATCATGATGTGAGCTAATGGGTCTGGAGGCCAGAAAGGACCATTCCAGATGGATCAGGAGCATCACGCGGCACCTCAGCGTGTCCTTTCCCACCGCCCCGGCAGCGATTCTCACCACGCCTGAGCCTCGCTTCATCCAGACGATGGTGAGAGACGGGTTCCCTGTCCAGGCACAGTTGAAGACCGCGTCCGAGCCGAGGTCGACGAGGAGGGACTGCGGTTCTGTCATCATCCTGGGCCCAACTGCACAGAGGAGACCGGAGTTACTCCCAATGATGGGTTGCACCAACCAGAAACCCTCCAACCCAAGAGGCCACTGTGTCGGAGGAAGCAGTGGAACGTCTTGAGGGACCTGTGGGTCACCCCCAAATAAAGAAGAGCCTGAAGCAAGTGTCTCCTGCACCCCTGGAATGACCAGCTCCCCAAAGTCCACCACCATAAGGCAGGAAGAAATGGGTCCCACCACCAGAACCTTGACACGGCCTGAACTGCAAGGGAGCCCAACAAGTTCTGGTCACCTTGGGCGTGCCAGATCTAGTTGTGTCCCCTTCCTGTTAATTTTCAGCAGTTCTGTTGATCCCTCTTAGCCCTGTGAAGCCAGTCCCAAGCCGACAAGAATACTTACAGTAGACGTCCACTGTCCTGCTGATGTTTGTGCTGCCCAGCGCGTTGGTGACCTCGCAGGAGACAGGCTCGAAGAAGAAGGTGTGGTCCACGATGGTTTCGTAGAAGTCACCGGATGCCTCCTTTATAACCTGGCCTTTTTTCGCCCACCTATTGAAGGAGAAAAGAGCATCGTTTTGCATCTCCATTCCCACGTGTGCCGCGGTGGAGACCAACTGCTGCTCATTCCACGTCGAAACCACCCAAAAACCTTTTCAGCATCCTCCCACTTCACCCTTCCTTTTTTTTTTTTCTCCCTTTCTTTCTTTTCCCAGTCAAAGAGAACTTTATCCCTTTAAGGCAGCTGAAATAACATTACCCTGAAAAGCCAAGCTGGCATTTGCAACACTCTTAACTTGCAAATTGTCTTGGAGAACAAGCTGTCAACTCAGCACTTGAATTAAGCCGCTGTTTGCCAAACAATGAGCAAATGCGACCTAATGGGGCACCATCTGGCAACCTGCCACTCGGGAGCGGGTGGGAAAGGCAGGAGATGCTGGCAGGCTGGCGTGAAAGCCCAGCCGCTCTTTGGGGGAAGGGAAAGAAAGCTCAGGCAGCAGCCTGTGGGAAAAAAAATTAAAAAACCCTCCCAGAACAACAGAGAGGATTTCCCTGAGGAATCTTTTTTTACTCATTGTCTCGGGGCTGCTCTCCTCTTGTTGGGGTGTTTGGGTTGGGAAAGGATGGGCTCGCCCTGGCATCTCCTCATGGTCCTCCTGAGGGTCTCGTGGTCCTCCTGAGGGTCTCATGATCCTTCTGAGGGTCTTGTGGTCCTCCTGAGGGTCTCGTGGTCCTCCTGAGGGTCTCGTGGTCCTCCTGAGGGTCTCATGGTCCTCCTGAGGGTCTCATGATCCTTCTGAGGGTCTCGTGGTCCTCCTGAGGGTCTTGTGATCCTTCTGAGGGTCTCATGATCCTCCTGAGGGTCTCATGATCCTCCTGAGGGTCTCGTGGTTCTCCTGAGGGTCTCAGGATCCTCCTGAGGGTCTCATGGTCATCCTGAGGGTCTCATGATGCTCCTGAGGGTCTCGTGGTCCTCCTGAGGGTCTCGTGATCCTTCTGAGGGTCTCTTTAACATCTCCCGAGTCTCGTGGTCCTCCTGAGGGTCTCATGATCCTTCTGAGGGTCTTGTGGTCCTCCTGAGGGTCTCGTGGTCCTCCTGAGGGTCTCGTGGTCCTCCTGAGGGTCTCATGGTCCTCCTGAGGGTCTCGTGGTCCTTCTGAGGGTCTCATGATCCTCCTGAGGGTCTCATGGTCATCCTGAGGGTCTCATGATGCTCCTGATGGTCTCGTGGTCCTGCCTTCCCCGCTTTGCGATGAGTTCCCCTTGCTTTAACATCTCCCAAAGAGAACTGGGGGGTCCAGCAACCCCAGGGCAGAAGGTCCCTGGGGCTGGAGTGAGAGCTGGAGCTAGAGTCGATTCCCCTGCTGCCCGCTCGCCTGAACCTAATTGAATCAGGGCGTCTGACCTGCAAATCTTCACCCCCCGTCTGATGACACAAGCGTTTTGGAAGAAGATGTATTAGCGGTGCAGATGGGAGCTGATTTGTATGCGCTCATCTGCTCTCTCGTTTCATTTATCTTTGCGCCTCTAACAGTTGCTGACTGGCCACTTCAGCTTCCCACCCTCCTTTCCTCCCTGGACTCTCCCCCTTTAATAATTAATCCGGAGCCGTCGTTTTATTTCTAGACTTTGTGTGTTAACGAGGGAGGTTTGTCCCGGCAGAAGCGATGCCTCCCAGGTACTCCTCCAAAGGTTTGACGGGTCAACGACACTTCAGGGACGCCTTTCTCCTTCCAGAGGGAACCACAAGGAGCTCGCGAGGGGGCGGCCAAGTGAGGCTGATCCCAGCATCGTGCTTCCCGATGGGATTTGCCTGATCCCTGCATTGTCCATCGCGGAGAGCATCGTCCCTTGGGGATGCTCCCCTTCCCTGGGTGGGGGGATCTGCCAGAGCCCCGATATCTCACCCCTGAAGCTTTGCACAGGTTGTGGGGTGGAGAAGAGACAGGTTCTTGTTGCTTCCGTGTTGGTTTATTGGTCAAAAAGGGCTTGAAGCCTGAACACTTGATGGAAGGACACTTGAAAAGGCACTTGAAAGGAAGGAAGGAAGGTAGGTTTGTACCTTTCTACTTCCTGGAGGGAACTGGGAAGCTTGAACTGGTGAGCCAAGAGCTGATTTCCAGCCTCTGAAGGGTCTTCTTCTGAGAGAGGCACCACAAACATGGATCCATTTCCTTGCAGCAATTCAAGAGGACGGGGCGAACGAGGCATCAAACTCAGGGGCTAATCCAGCACTTTTTGTGGTTGTTTTTGCAAAAAACCACCTTCCCTGCTCTGAAAAGAACAAGAAGGTTTCCAGATGAGGATAGAAGTGACGGGTGAGCTCCCAGAGTCATGTCCTTGCAGCCAGCCTCCTCCCAACAGAGACACGGAGGGCACCTGGGCTTGGAAACCAGAAGGAGAAGCAGGTTTGAGTCGGGCAAACGTCAGGTCAGATCCTGCTGGGCTTTGCAAAAGAAATCAAAACAGAGGCCAAGGTTTCCAAGAGCTGTTTGACTTTGCAGTGGGCTTGGGAAAACCAGTCACGGCACGGAGCTTGGCTCAAAACCTCATCGCTTACCGCAAAACTGGATTTCCCCAGCGCGGAGCTGTGTCACAAACAGGCAATTTTTCGTGCTTCAGCAGAGATCAAGGTTCTTGCTCCAGTTTCCCAGGGCTTAACACTGCTAAATCAATGTGGCTGAACAAGCTCTATAGATCTTTTATAATGTCAAATTGGTTTTTAATAACGACAGCTGATAACGCCCTTGTAAAACTTCCCACGACGGGCTCATGGACAGCCAGAAGGCGAGTCACTTACGTTTTTAACAAGCCCATAACACGCCTTACTCACCTACTAACCTCCCGGTAATTATTTCCAAACAGAATCGGAATAAAAAAGGAGCTGAGAAGATACTGAGGATGTTTCATTCCTCCACCTCCACCGCTCTGGCCTGTCGTGGTTTCTTCCTAACGTCTCTCCAGCCTTGAATGTGCGGAGCCTGGCTCCCCGCCAGCGCTCCTCGTCCTCCCACCCTTGAGAGCGGGGGCTTCTTTCATTTATTATCACTACCTTGAAGCTATTTATAGATTGCAAACGTGTCTTTCCCGGAATATATAAATTTACCTCCTTTAAGGCTCATACGGCTGCGCCGCTGACTCGTGGCCAGCGCAGAGCCAGCATCCTATCTGCTGCTGTCCCTCATCCCCTCGAGATTGGCACGTTTTCTCCTCTTTTTCTCTTCACCAAGCACCATCTCAGGGAGAAATTAAAGCTCTCCGGGGCTAAAATTTCATTTGTGTCATTTTTCTTTCTCTGGCCTCACTGGGAGTGCCCGGTGCCTCCCACTTCTGGAAATCGAATCGGCCCAGCTGATGGGGGAAAACAAATTTCAACCAGGAAATAGATATTTCGATCCAAGCTTCACTGGAATTATTACAGGCAGCAATGAAAAAACAGTGATTAAAGTATAAAAATCCCCCACACTTGTACTGGGTCCTTTTAACACTCTAAAATAAGAGGGGAGGGAGCATTTTTCTAAGAGATATTCTCTGGGGAAATAGCATTTTCTGCCTGTATCGATTGCTTCCCAGCTATGAGTGCACACAAGCAAATAAGAAAGGACAGTTTGGGATGTGTCGGCTTTGTTTTGGTTCTCATACGCCAGAGTTAATTCAGCGACCTGCTCTGGTTTCCAAAGGAAACCCCCGAAAGCTCCAAGGTCTCAGTGGAAGACGCTCAGCAGAGTCTTCTGGGTTTGTACCCATCAAGGACATCACTTCTGGCCGGGCTTCCAGGCTTGTGAAGCCCGTGAAGACCTGATCACATTGGCAAGGAGAGCGTGAATCTGCCCTGTGGAGCATCCTCATGAAGAGGAACTAGCACAAGTGGAAGCCAGTTACAAGTGGAGTCCCTCAAGGATCAGTGCTGGGACCAGCCTTGTTCAACACCTTCGTCAGCCACATGGACAGGGGCACTGAGTGCGCCCTCAGCAAGTTTGCCGACGACACCAAGCTGTGTGGGGCAGCAGATACACTGGAGGGCAGGGATGCCATCCAGAAGGACCTCAACAGGCTGGAGAGGTGGGCCCAGACCAACCTCATGAAGTTCAACAAGACCAAGTGCAAGCGGGGCAATCGCAAGCACCAATATAGACTGGGCAGGGACTGGCTTGAGAGCAGCCCTGAAGAAAAGGACTTGGGGTACTGGTGGACAAGCAGCTCAATATGAGCCGTCAGTGGCACCTGCAGCCCAGAAAGACAATCATGTCCTGGGCTGCATCAAGAGGTGTGTGGCCAGCAGGGCGAGGGAGGTGATTCTGCCCCTCTGCTCTACTCTTGTGAGACCCCACCTGGAGTGCTGCGTCCAGTTCTGGAGCCACAGCACAACAAAGATCTGGACATGCTGGAGCGTGTCCAGAGAAGGGCCACGAGGATGCTCAGAGGGCTGGAGCAGCTCTAATATGGGGATAGACTGAAAGTGTTGAGGTTGGTCAGTCTGGAGAAAAGAAGGCTCCAAAGAGATCTTATTGTGGCTTCCAGTATCTTAAGGGGGCTACAGGAAAGCTGGGATGTCAGGCAGTGACAGGACTAGAGGGAATGGATTGAAGCTGGAGATGGGTCGGTTCAGGTTGGACAGGAGGAATAAGTTCTTCACCATGAGGGTGGTGAGACCCTGGCACAGGTTGCCCAGAGAAGGGGTGGCAGCCTCATACCTGGGAGTTTTTAAGGCCAGGCTGGATGGGGCTCTGGGCAGCCTGATTTAGTGGGGGATGTCCCTGCCCATGGCAGGAGGTTGGAAAGAGATGATATTGAAGGTCCCTTCCAACCCTGACAATTCTGTGATGACTTCATCCGTCCCTAAAGAATAATTTTTGTCTACCTGAGGTACAAGGACTTGCCATTCTTCAATGAACAAGTTATTTACTTCACAGCCCTGGGAAGGCTCTTCCTCATGAAGCTCTTCATGAGGCCACGGATCTCTCCAGCATCTCAGGAACACATGGGGGGCATCGCTAGCACCCACCTCACAGCGCAGGGACCCTCCGGACTCCTTAAATCCATCCTGCAGG